TATGTGTGTCTGTGTGTCTGTGTGTCCCATACGGTGCAGTGGTATGTGCAGCGATTTCCAATCGAGAGGTTGCGGGTTCGATTCCCGGCAATTAGGCCACCCTTTCTTTTTTCGTTGTTTAACGTCCGCGCCCGCGTACCTTTTTGCCTCCGACCGGAAAAAAAAACAAGAAAGTAGTAGTACCAATAATATGCGAAGTTATAAATACATGATTGTGTAGTTTCACAGTGTGCCGATCATGACCCTAAACTTATAATCTTGCCTCCCGGGCATGCCTTTGTCTTGTGTTCTTTTTCTTTTTTTGTTGGCTTTTAAATATCGTACGGTGTGTGCCCTAGTAAAAATCCAGATGTAATGAATTCATGACATGCTAACTCCATACTATGTACCTGTTTTGTTGGATTCATCAGGCATGTGCTCCAATGTACCATCAAAGAGTGTTGTTCTATGCCTGCAAGTGCCGTTAGACCCAGAAATATTGTATATATCACATGCTTTACTGGTCAAAATGTTTGATTGGGGTTTCCAGTTTTTGGAATGGGCTTTTGTTTTTTTTCCGCCCTCCCGCGTACCTTTTCGCGAAAAAAAGGACGTTAAACAATGAATTAACAAAGGGTGGCCTTACGGTCACACACGTCTTTCTTCTCTTTCTCAGACTCCTCCTGACTTTTCTTTCATTCTCCTGGGTGGTTACCAACAGCGCCAGTGCATGCCGGAGTATGTGGTGTGATTTATTTTATTTATTTATTTATTTATTTCTGCACCTCGTGGCATGTCAAGACAGCCAATTGAATTGAGGAGAGGGTGAGACCAACCACGGAAGAAGAGAAAAAAAGAAAATTAAGAGCACGTACACAAAGTGGGAAGGGATTAGCAACTTACAAAGCAATGGGATGCTCAGCGAGCTATGCAGCGGAAGTGGTGACTGTGACTTTGTTTACTGGGAGATACTGAAGTGCTGTCTGACGAGGGTACGGAATTTGGGCAAATCTGGAGCTTGTCTAACACTGGGAGGCAGTTGGAGCCACGTGGAGTAGGAGGAAAAGAAAGGGGAATTTACGAATAGGGTAGACCTAGCTAGGGGGAGACGAACGCAGCTTCGGGTGGTGCCACCTGAATTGAACCAATTAAGGGACTGTAAATGAGCAGGGTGCTGGTCAAGGAAAATTGAATGCGCCAGGGTGCACTTGGAAGCATCAAGGTAATGTTGCAGAGTGGTAGTGGATGCAGCAGCATACAAGTCTAGATTTGAGGTATAACGATCAGTACGGAATATGATTCGCAGTATACGGCGATGGAGAACTTCTAATTTACCTATGTGGGTTTTGTTAATGGTGGACCAGGCAGGGAAGCCGTACGTGAAGAGGGGAAGAATGTATGATTTATAAAAATTAATCCGGCAATTTTTGGGCAAATGGGACAAGTGACTTGACATTATGCCGACAGATCGGCATACTTTGGACGACACATGATCAGCATGGTGAGACCAGGAGAGGGCGGAATCTATGACAATGCCAAGGTGTTTATGGTGGGGCGCTACAGAGATAGGGTGACCGGGATCATCGGGAAAGTGGAAGATGGGCACTGGATCTGTGGGAGGGGGAAACAGGAGGAGCTCGGTTTTGGTCACATTTGGCTTAAGGTACCAAGTGCTCATCCAGTGAACAATGTCGTTGATACAGGTCTGAACTTTGGGGTACAGGGTGGCG